ATCTGCTGTCAGGGACCTCTCTAGATTGCTGAAGAGCACTGATGCCAGTGTAGAGACTAAGGTATATCTGATTCAAGCCATAGCCTTCTCAATTACTTGCTATGCATCAGAGAGCTGGACAGTGACTAAGGATGATAGAAGAAGAATTGATCCCTTTGATACTGGAGAAGAGTATTGAACATACCATGGATTCCCAGGAGAAAAAACAGGTCTGTCCTGGAGATGGTGAAACCAAACTGCCCCATAGAGGCAAGGATTTTGAAGCTCTGTCTCACATATTTTGGGCATGTTGCCAGGAGAGACCAGTCTTTGAAGAAGGGCATCATACTTGGAAGGGTGGAGAGACAGCTCAGGAAAGGAAGACCCTGGATGAGATGGATTGACATGGTAACTGGTGCAATGAGGGCAAGTGTGTCGGAGGCAGTGAATTTGGCTCAGGATAGGGCAGGGCTGAGGGTTATTGTGCATAGGGTTGCTATGAGTCTCAGGTGACTTGATGGCACATAACAAGAGGCTTGTAAAGATAAAAATTCTTTAAATAGGAAGCAGGAGTGGCATCCGCTTCCTAAACAACATGCCTCAGGAAACTCTATGAACTTTGATGAATGGTGATGGTTATGGAAAGGCTTCAGGCCTTTTTGTTCATAGGGTCACTATGAGTCATGCTCAACTCGACAGCAATAAACAACAACAAGTGTAACATATTGGCTGTTTACCATTAACTATTATTGTTTAACTTGTGGAGTCTTTATACACTAGATGTCATTGATTCTAAGTGTTTCGGCTGAACAGTCAGTGGAACATTGATTGTGAACACAGGTTTAGAATCAGATGGACCTGAGTGGCAGTCTTATGCTGCAGCTATGTGACCTTGGGCTGTTTAGTTACCATAAGTCTCAGTTCGTTCATTAATTAATAGATGATATTAATATGCCTCTAAGGCATATGAAATTAAGGATGTTTTTAAATTAAAAGAGATAATGTTATAAAGTTCTTAAAATAGTGCATGACACGTAATAAACAGTCAATAATTTAACCAATATTACTCTTATATTTCGGGAACTCTGGTGGCCTAGGGGTAAGAATTCGTTCTGCTATGTCAGAGGCAAACAGTTTGAACCCACCAGCTGCTCTGCAGGAAGGAGATGGGAGGTCTCCTCCTGTGCTATTTATAGCCTCTGAAAACATGCTGGAGGATCAGCTAAAAGATGGTTCTGACCCAACAGCAATGAGAAAGAGAGATTTCTATTTGGGGACCTCTAGCGGTGTGGTCCACAAGGAGTGGTGGGTCTCTGCTGGTTCAAATCCACCAGTGTTCCTAAGGAGAAAGGTGGGCAATCTCTGGCTGTGTGATTTGTTGTTGTTGTTAAGTGCCGTCGAGTCACAGGCGACTCATAGCAACCCTATGAAGGAGAGCCCTCAACGCTTGGGTGTCTTTCATCCTCTCTCCAGGTTCATAGGGTTTCTGGAGGCAAGCTATTATGGGAGTGGATGCCACTCCTCCTTTCAAGCTTGTTTTAATTGGGGAGCTCCACCCCACTCTCTGTCCGCACTGGGTAACCAGCCATTAATGCATTTGACACATCAGTATCACAGTGTTCAGCCTCACAGCAACCACAAGTGACCACTGTACAGCAAGTGGACACACCAGGGCTATATGACCTAGAGGAATGTCTGAACAAAAACAATGAAAGACAGGCCTGAGGGCCGCAGATTAAAAGTCACCCACCTTCGGCTTGGTAGTATCACTTTCTGTCCACTGGGTCAGCTGATCTTTTTCCATGGGCTGTGTGATTTACGGATTTGGAATCCAGTGGAGCAGGAGCTGTGCATAAGTCAGCTCCAACTCAATAGCAGTGAGGAGGAGAAGGATAGCTTCAAGCCATCAAAAGCTACTTTGGGAGAAAAACCTGGGGAGCTACTTCCAAACTGTCACAACCCTGTGGAGTGCGGTTCTGCTCCGCAGGATGTGAAGGCACTGTGAGTGGGTCAATTTTGATAGCAACTGGTTTGGTTTATGTTTAAATAAATCACCCAGTAGAATCAATAGAGAGGGAATTAAAGACGTAATTTCTCTTAAAGTAGATACTAATTATTCTTCCATCTTATAGATAAGAAATGGAGACTTGAAATGTCCAGGTAATGATCACACAGTAGGAGCTGCAGAGATGGGGTTTAAATATTGGTTTCTGGTAAGGAATGCACTTACCTAAATGTTTTACTGAGTGACAATGAAAGCCCTTATTTGTGGAGGTCATTTAGGGTGCCTCTGTCGTCCATAGAGTATCAGAGATATACTCTAAGTGCTAAATGAAGTGACTGGATTGGCTTAGAAATGACTAAATTTTAATCAGGTTTGGAAAGAAGAAAATCATACTGATTGATCTTAAAGGGCTTCTTGAATTTTAACCTTGGATTTAGCTAGTCTTTGTATTTATCACTGTGAATAATTATCCAGGGAGCCCAATTTCTTGACCATCTGGCCTACTGACACTTTCCATTGAGTCAAATTTGGTTGCTGGGGGGGGGCATTCAGCCCCCACATCCTGTCTGCCAGGTATTTTCCCAGTCTTTTGACATGTCAGGCCTAAAGACATTAAACCCTGCCAACTCTTCCAGGTTCATGGGGACTGAAGCCAATGACGAGAGCGTTAGCCGGACCATGATGTACTATGGACTGCCTTTTATCCAAGAAGCAGATTTTCCTTTCAACAATTACCTCACCACACTGGACACACCTGGGAATAGTGTATTTAATCAAGCTCTCATGTCCTGGATGGAAAACATGCCAGAAGGAAAATGGCCTAATTGGATGGTAAGTCTTCATGCCTAGCTCAGCTTGTACTGATATGCTTGTTGAACAGTCACTTCTGGAATATGTCTTTAATGAACTTCACCTCACCCTCCTTTGATAGTTCTTCAGTGAGCTAGGCCTGTCCCAGCCTCCCACTACTTTCTTGTCGTTAAGGAAGAGACACTGACTATTGCATTGAATGAGTATTTAACTTGTTGTTGAATGCCATCCAGTCAGAAATGACTCACAGCTGACCTTCCAGGGAGTTTTCAGAGGCAGTAAATCACATGGGAGGATATTGATTGCCCCTCTCTCTCCTGAGGAGTGGCTGGTGGATTCAAACAGTAAACCTTTTGCTTGGCCGCATAATTCCTTATCAATGGGAATCCTAGAACACCAAATTGTGTTCATGTGAAGCCTGTACTTGAAGCAGAGAGCAGTAGTCAAAATGGAACAGGGAAATAGTACCTGGTTCAGGATCATGAAATGTGCGCATCAGGGATGCGTCCTATCTTCACCCCTTCTTAATCTATATGCAGAACAGATCATTCAGGATACTAGACTTTAGGAGGAGGATTGTGGCATCAGGATTAGAGGAAGACTCATCAACAACTTGTGTTATGCAGATGACACAACCTTGCTGAAACTGAGGAAGACATGAAGCATTTGCTACACACAAGGTCAAGGACTGTAGTCTTCAATATGGATTGAAGCTCAAAATCAAGAATACAAAGCTTTTCACCATTGGGCCGATTAGCAGCTTCATGACAGAGAAGAGATTCAGATTGTCATCAACTTTAGCTTGCTTGGTTCCACAATCAATCTTGGCACAAGCAGTCAGGAAATCAAAAGATGAATGGCAATGCCATATTACATCTTAGGAAACTAAGAGAGGAAAAAAAGAGATCGATAGTTTGAGTAGGCATTTGACTGTGTGCATTACAACAAATTGTGACTAACCTTGAAACAAATGGAGATTCCAGCACGACTGACTATGCTTATGCAAACCCTATACTTGGAACAGAAGCAGTCCTCAGAACACAGCAAGGAAACACTGCATGGTTCAAAATTAGGAAAGGAGTGTGTCAGGATTGTGTCCTGTCCATACCTTTTCAATCTATATGTAGAATATTCAGGAGATTGAACTGTATGAGGAGGAATGTTACATGGGTCTGTTCAGATGTTCACTTTCAGTTGGTGTCAGTTTAGGTAGGTTGTGCACTTCTAAGTATTTATCCATTTCCTCCAGGTTTTTGTATTTATTTGAGTACAGTTTTTTTAATAATATTCCATTGCTAGTCTTTTTATTTCATTTGGTTCTGCTGTAATGTTACCCGTTTCATCTTTTACTCGGATTATTTGTCTTTTCCTTCTTTCCCTTTGTTAGTCTTGCTAGTGGTTTGTCTATTTTATTGACCTTTTCAAAGAACCAACTTCTAGTTTTGTTGATGATTTCACTTGTTTTTTTGTTTTCTACTTCATTTAGTTCTAATTTTTATAATTTTAGTTTTTTTAGAGGGTGTTGGGTTTTCTTGCTGTTCTTTTTCCATTTGTTGGAGATGTTGTGTTAGAGAGTCAATGGTCATTTTTTCCTGCCTTTTGATGTGTTTGCTTATTGGTATACACTGACATCTGATTACTGCTTTGGCTGTTTCCCAGAGATTTTGGTAAGTTGTGATTTCATTGTCATTCATTTCAAGAAAGTTTTTAATTTCATTTTTTTTTATTTCTTCTTATACTCACTCATGTTCAAGCAAGGTGTTGTTCAACTCCCAAATGTATGTTTTTTTTTCTTCTTTATCCTCTTGTTATTAATTTCTAATTTTGTGGTCTGAGAAGATGCTTTGTATTATTTCTATGTTTTTTAATTTATTGATACTTGTCTGTGGCCTAAAATACGATCTATTCTGGAGAACATTCTATGTGGAGAAGAAGGTATACTGTGCTGTTTTTTGGGTACCTTAGCCTGTAAGTATCTATGACAGTGAATTGGTTTATTGCGTGGTTTAATTCTTCAGCATTTCTGTTGAGTTTCTTTCTGGTAGTTCTACCTTTTCTTGAGAGTGGTGTATTGAAGTCTCTAACTACTATAGTGGTGGTGTTAATTTTTTTTTCAGTTTTGTTAATGTTTGTTTTATATATTTTTCAGGTCTATCATTTGATGCATATTTATCATTGTTTTGTCCCCATGTTCTATTGACCTTTTAAGCATTATGTAGTGACCTTCCTTGTCCTTTGTGATGGTTTTTACATTGAAATTTATTTTATCAGAAATTAATATCACTACTCCTGCTTTTTTTATGGTTGGTATTTGCTTGATATATTTCCCCCTACCCTTTTTAGTCTTTATCTTCTCTTTTCAGATGTGTCTCTTGCAGACAGCATGTTGATGGATTTTGGGGTGTGTGTGTGTGTTTTTTTTTATCCAATCTGCTACTCTTTTTCTCTTCAGTGGTGCATTTAAGCCATTCATATTCAGTGTGATTATTGAGAGGCATGGTTTTATTGCTATCATTGTGTTGAGTTCTTTTTGGTGGTGTTGTTAGTTACTTTGATCCATCCTGCTTTCTGTGGCACCTCTGTAAGGAGGACATCTCTCAGTGTTTCCTGGAATGCTGGTCCTCTTTTTACAAACTCCTTTAGGTTGTTTTTCTGGGAATATCTTGATCTCCCCTTCATATTTGATGGACAATTTTGGTAGGTACTGTCTACTTGGTTGACAGTTGTGTTCTTTGAGTGTTCGATATATTTCATTCCACTGTCTTCTTGCTTGCATGGTTTTTGCTGAAAAATTGGCACTTAATTATATCTGCTCTCCCTTATAGGTCACTCTTTGCTTCTCCCTTGCTGCTTTCAGAATTCTCTCCTGATATTTCTGGCAAATTTGATTATGACATGCCTTGGTGTTTTTCTTTTGGGGTCTATTCTATATTGTGTTCTCTCAGCTTCTTGAATATATATTCTCTCATTCTTCATTATGCCTAGGAAGTTTTCTTCTAGTAATTCTTCCACAACTTTTTCGGTGCCTTTACTTGCTTCTTTCTGTTCTGGGATTCCAATAATGCACGTTATGTCTCTTGATGGTGTTCCACATTATTCCTAGGTTTTCTTCTTTTTCCTTCCTTGTTGTTTCTGCTTTTTGCTCTAGCAGATCAGTGGTGACAATTCTTCTTTTTCACTGGTTCTGTTACATCTCTTCACCTCTGCTCATGTGTCCCTCCATCATGTTGACAGCATCTGAAACATTGGACCTCATATTTTGGATTGCAGTTTCTTGTTTTTCCAGAGCCTTCATTTATTTCATCTGCATTGTGTTGAATTGTCTTTTTAAGCTCCTCTTGGTTTTTGCTTGCAGTGTCTTGTAATTCTTCAAGTTTGTCTTTCACCCATTGAAAATATTCAATCATAGTTCTTTCAAATTCTGTGTCAGAAAGTTCCATCAGACTTTCTGGTTTCAAGAAATCCCTTGGTATTGTGTCACTTTTGGGGGATGACATATTGCTTTACACTTGTGTAGCTTGTGAGGTGGCCTGTTTCTTTTGTGATGATGCTATGGTAGAGTATTTCATGCCTGAGGCAATGATAGGTTCTTGATCTGAAATCAGTGCTACAGAGGAGGGCGTAGCAGTTATGTTACCTGTGCTCCTCTCAGAATTTCTGAACAAAGAGACGCATCCACTCACAGTCTGTGAAAAGTGGCCTCTTCTCTTGGATAATTGTTACAGCTAAGTCCAGTTGACTGGAGGTTAGGAGATGTGAGGTTGGGGGGAGGGGGTGGGAATAAGTGGGGCAGATACAAGCACAGGTGTATGCTGGGGGGGGTGTATGCTCAGACGCCACAAGCAGGGACCTCACTCAGGCTGCAGCCACAGCTGTATGACTTGCACCAGGTGGGGCTAGCTGTCCAGGCGGGTGAGTGGGAAGACCTCACTCAGTTTGCAGCTGTCCTGCTCACACCCGGTGGTGGTGGTGGTGGTGGGGCTTCCTGCCTGGGTGTGGACGTGCAGGGACATCACTCAGGCTGTAGATGTCCTGCTGGTGTCCAGTGGGGCTAGCTTCTGGATGGGCATGTGCCAGGACCTCACTAAGCCTGCAATTGTCCTGCTCATGTCTGGCAAGGCCACTTGCCTGAGTAGGGATGCCTGGGGCCCCGCATGAGGAACTCACTCAGTTTGCAGATATCCTGCTCTTGCCTGCTGGGGCTACCTGCTTGTGTAAGAATTTGCAGGGACCTTACTCAGGCTGCAGCTGTATGGCTCACGCTGGCAGGGCCAGATTTCAGATGGTTACCCATTAAGTGTATCAGTCAGGTTGCAGGTGTCTGGTGGGCCCTGGGGGAAAATATTTCTTTACTAAAAGCCCTGTGCCTGGGTTTCTCCTTCAGCAAGTTCTATTGGCTTTTTTCTGACTCCACCCTTCTTTGTCTATGAACCATGATTTCTTGTGGGTATGTCTTGTAAATTTTTGTTGTTGAAAACTAGAGAACTAGGTTATGTGGTAACTCTGGTGATCACAATTCTCCTTTCCTGGATGGAACTAGTTTGTTGTTAGTGTTTGTTTAGTGACTGTCTAGAACTGATCTTATAGTTGTATATAATCACTAAAGGCTCTCTTTGGTAGTTTGTAGTTGTTGTATACTGTAGAGTCAACACCGACCCATAGTTGACCTGCTGGCAGATTTTCATAGGCAAAGAGGAGGAGACTGCCCATCCTTCTCCCATGGAGCAGCTGGTGGTCTCCTATGTGCCTTTGGGATTGTGGTGCAGCTTCTCGCCACTAGGCCACCAGAGCTCCCTCAGTGACTACTACACTCCTGGTATTCACGACTATTGTAGTTAAATGCTAATTTTAAAGACTATTATAGACCCAAGAGAGGAGAATTGGACTAGAGTTAAGTTAAAAAATGGCTCAAAGCTTGCTTTCCTGATAGAAATAAAGTTTTTATTCATTAAACACTCTCTAGATTTCTGCAGGCTGTTAGTTAATTTTTGGAGTTCTGAAAAGTTCTGAATTTGCCTATGTTCTCACTAATTTCATGGGAGATTTGTAGAAATCCTTACTCCACAATTCTACAGGTGCCTCTTTAACATACAATTTAACAGGTAGTTTCAGTTAATTAAAAAACACCAAAGCATGAAAATCTAATACATTATACAGGGCTGGGACCTCGCTCAGCCTGTGAAACCCTCTCTGACCCATGCAAACTACCTTTCTGTGGGAATGTTTCCTGACTTTAATTCTTTGACTTATTTTTTATAAACTACTGTATAGTAGCTTTTCTACTTTTATATTCAAAATGTTGGAGAAACAGTAGTTAGATAGTTGTTAGATGATCTTGTTGTTGTTAAGTGCCATCAAGTCTTAGACGACTCATGGCGACCTATGAACAAAAGATCTGAGCCCTGTGTATAGAGTTTCCGGAGGCAAGCCATTTCAGAAGTGGATGATCTTAATTAAAAAAAAATAGGCAAACTTTGATCTAATTTTCTGGACACAATGACAGACAAACTAGTCTATTAAAACACAAGTGTAAACACAGTGTATATAAAGTACTTAAAGGGAGAGAAACAACACTTCCTAAATTGTGTTAAGTTCTTATTTTCAGACTTAAGTTTAAAGGCTGTTTCTGTCTCATACTATGAACTTCAGTAAATGAAATTTCTTACCGTTTATCTGTCATTTGTGAAATGTAGAAAATACAAAACAACTATGAGATATCATCTCACCCCAGTCAGAATAGCAAATTTAACAGAACAGCAAGCAACATGCTGGCGAGGTTGTGGAGAAAACTGGAACCCTTATTCACTGTTGGTGGAAGTGTAAAATGGTGCAACCACTGTGGAAGGCGGTATGGCGCTTTCTCAGAAAGTTGCAAATAGAGATACCATTTGACCCTGCAATACCACTACTGGGAATATACCCAGAAGAGACCATAACTGACACCCAAGCAGATATATGCACACCCATGTTTACTGTGGCTTTGTTCACAATAGCAAGGAGTTGGAAACAACCTACAAATGGATAGAGAAGCTGTGGTAGCTGTGGTATAGTCACACAATGGAATACTATGCTGCATTGAAAAACAAACAACTCATGCAATATTATTCAAAATGGATGACCCTGGAGGACATTATGCTGAGTGAAATATCTCAGTCACAAAAGGACAAATACTGAATGGTGCCACTGTTGTAAAATGGGACTGGCATCGGGGCTGGGGGGAGACTGAGAAAGATGGGTTTAATAATGTATATTATTGAAACAGATGAGGGAGAAAACTGTTTAAAAGGGATCTGTGATTAGGAATTTTTGTTATGACGGGAGTCCAGAGCGAAGGCTGCATAGTGGAGTGGCCCTGGGAGAAGGGATTGTAAAACAATGAAAGAATTTTTCTTTTACTTTTCTAAGAGGGTAGTGTACTTGGGGGGGCTGGTTAGGAGAGGAGAAAAGTGCAACAATGAATGAATGGAAATCCAAAAATATCTGTACATTTTCACTGAAATTAATAATAAATTTTAAAAAAAGTAGAAAATATCAGCACTACAGTGGAGGGAAGACTAAGATATAAAGTAGTCATATAAGTCCTGTTCAGAGAGTAAAGCACCACGCTCAGCACACATGCACATGAGATTCTATTAGGGTGGCATCATATGATTTGAGCAAATAATCTCTTAGTAAATCTATACAATCTATTAGTAAATAATAGATTAATACACATAATTAGAGCATCAGACATAGAAATTACATTTACATATAGAAAACACATTTCAAAATTTTTGGACTAGTAAATTCTTTTAAAAGTTGATTTATTTTTAAATTGAAAATAGACTATGCAAGAAGTCTTTAGTACCCCCTACTTATTCTGGTTCTATTTATACCTGGTTCCCTTGTACTGATTTCTATGGGGGAAACATTTTGCATATTTTCTGCTTAGTATTTTCTATTCAGTGATAGCAAATAGAAATAGACACACTTAAAAATTTGTTACTCACCATATGTTTGCTCACGTGAGGTAAATTTTTTAGACAATCACTGGCTAAGACTGAAGTGTACAGCACGTGGCAAGTCAGGGGCTCACATACAGACTACCTTATCTAACTGCATGATGAACCTTTTGTGAAGGAAATATTCCAGAAGTGTGTACAACTGTTTTCTGAAACTTTTCTGCCTTTCAGATTGGTGGGCCAGATAATTCTCGGTTGACGTCTCGTATGGGGAAAGAATATGTCAATGCCATGAATATGCTCATTTTAACACTTCCTGGCACTCCCATAACTTACTACGGTGAAGAAATAGGAATGAGAGATATTTTACCTACGAATCTCGATGAGAGCTACAATCCTGTAAGTTCAATATAACTTACCCACATACAAAATTGTAAAATAAGCTTTCTTTTTTTAATCAGTATATCAAAAATTTCTAATCCACTGCTGAAAATCATGCCAATTTTGCTTTCCATTCTTACTATTACACATGAGAAATTATTAGCTTTCTTGGTAGTGGGAAAATGCTGTTAAAATGCTTACTAGGCTATATAACTTAATTTCTAGAGTAGTGGTAGTGTTGTGTGCCAGACTCGTACCTGATGCATAGCTGACTTTCATAGCAGGTTTTCCAAGTCTACAATCACACAGGGGACTGCCCATCATTCTCCTAAAGAGCAGCTGGGGGATTAGAACTGCTTGTCTTTGGGTTGGTAACACAACTCCTTACCACGAGGGCACTAGAGGTCCCTTCAGTTCTAGGGTAGAACCCAGATAACTGTATTCTAAAGATTCATTCCTGCTCATTATTACCAGCTGTATACCAGCTCTGTGGGAGAAAGATTTATGTAAATTTGTGCCGTCACTTTGTAATGATTGGACCAACAAGCTACTCACAAGTTCATCAGTCCTCATGTGCAGCTTTAAAATCATTGAAAAGGCTCTGTAAAGAAACTTGTAGTACCTGTTCTGACATACTTAAAAATTCTGAAGACAGGATCTGCCTACACCTCTCAAGATTGGATAACCAGCATCTTGAGCCCAGGATCTTTATTCATTGCCTTCTCCCCAAAACAGTGGGTACATTTATTTTTGTAGTTCTTGCCTTTTCTACTAGATCATGATTTTACAAAAAAAAAAGAAAGAAAAAAAGATTGTTCTTTTATGTTATATTGCACGTCACAAAGAGCCTGAGACTTGAATGACTTTTCATCTGAGGCTATGGGTCTTAAATGTATATTGCTGAACAGATGCCCAATTTTGCTAAGTTGCTTGGTTAGCTTCAAGTGTAGAAGATCTAGTTTCTCTAATATATAAAACAGCTTCTGCTTCAGGTTGTAAATCAGTGTATACTCATCAACAGTGGTGATGGCTGGATGAATGAAGGCTGGAATTCAGGCTCTCCTTACATAGCAGTGTCCTGAGTTCATCAGCACTGTATCAGTTAAATGGTGTTAGGTGCCGCTGAGTCGAGTATAACCCACAGAGACCCTATAACCAATAGATCTGAATGGCTGTCCTATCCTATGCCAGCCTCACACTTCCAAATACACTAGAACCCACTGCAGCAGCAGTAATCTGAAAACTGGTAATAGTACATTTTAAAATTCTATTATACTCTTTGGGAACTCTGATGGCCTAGTTGCAGGAATCTGCACTGCAATCCAGAAGGCACAAAGTTCAAGTCCACCAGCTGCTCCATGGGAGAGGGATGATTTCCTCCCATGCAATTAACTGCCTCTGAAAACCTGCCAAAGGGTCAGCTATGGGTTGATTCCAACCTGACAGTTCACAACAACATACTTTCAGGGGGAAAAAAATCAGCAAGGTTTGAAGAATGTATCTTAGTATAGTCTATTTAAACCAAGATGTTATAAATGCTATTTAAGTGGTTTAAGTACTAGCTTAAGAATTGAATATTATTTCCTTTCATTGAGCAAGCTGCGAACGGATAATAGGAAGCTCCATTTCTTTTAATAACTGTTGTCGTCTTTTTGTCTTCTGACACAGAATACCCTTCTCTCAAAGTCACCAATGCAGTGGGACAATAGCTCCAATGCTGGCTTTTCTGAAGGCAATCATACCTGGCTACCTACCAGTTCAGATTACCACATTGTGAATGTTGACGTAAGTATCAGTGAAAAGTTTACGATCATTCTAGATAGTCAATGTTTCTGTATTGAAAACATATACGTATCCTGTGTCTATACTTTGTTACTCTGAATAAGGTACCCTTCTCTTGAACTTTTATAAAGAATTTGTAAATCCTGTTTCTGTGAAAATACAAACTGGCACACAAATTTACCGACATTGCAGGAAATGCACTTTGCACTGGCTTGACATTTATGGAGTTCTGAGCACTCAAGAGAATATTAAATCTTTTGAAAGCTTCATTCCCTTCTTACCATCCAAAGAAAGAAGCAAAGTAGAAAATAAACAATCCCTAGAGGAAAAATACAGCCTTTCACTTTTGCCTATATTATTTTCTAATCTCATAGTAATCAACTTTTATGTACAGCAGCTCTGAACCCTGCCCTGTCCTGAGCCAGTCTCACTAATGCTGACACACCAACCCCCACTGCCCGTTACTGTAACAGTCCATCTCATTCTGGGTCTTCTCGCCTGATTTGTCCCTCTACCCTTCTGAGCATGATTTCATTCTCCAAGGACTGTCTCTTTTGGCCAAGTGCCCAAAGTATGTGAGACAGAGCTTCAAAATCCTAGTGTCCAAGAAGAAAAGTGGTTTCACCCTAAGATATACCTGTTGGTTTTCTTGATGATCTACGGTTCAAGACTATTCTCCAGCATCACAATTCGAAGGCATTGATTCTTCTGTCGTCCTTAGTCATTGTCCAGCTCTCTGATGCACAACAAGTAATTGCAAAGACCGTTAAGTCTCTAGATTGACATAGTTGCTTCTCAGTACTATGGAGAGGTCCCTGGCAGATTTCCCCAAAGTCGTCTAGGATCCAAGTCTCCAGCTTAGAGGCCCATGTGTGAAGCAGTTAGATTCTTTTGTTTTGGTTCAGGGTCAGGTGTGGACTGTTAAGTTGGTTTTTATTATGTTCACAGTTGTGTATGAGCTTACTGGGTTTGTTGGATTATGAATTATGTTTGGGACAAACATTCTTTTAAGTAGTACAGCACTGGTCCATTTGCTATACTGAGGTCACCTGGGGTTGCTGTGATGCTGAATGCTGTGCCACTGGAGCTTTCATGTTAAGACAGGCTTGGAAGCAGGAGTGGCATCCCCTTCCTAAACATGTGTCTGTAAAATCTATGAACTTAAGAGAAACAATAGTTACAGAAGAGGGTTCAGATTTTTTGTTTATAGGGTTGCTATGAGTTGTGTTCGACTCAACAGCACTTAACAACATAGTAAACAATTTTCAGTAAGAAAATTTATGAATTCATCCTTAGACCAGAAAAAAACCCACCCCACCCCTAGTATTTTCAGGTGTGCAAAGAGATGCCAATGCCATGTAGTTGGAATATTTTTTTGGTTTAAATTGAATGTTATGTACTGTCAAGTTTCCAGAGATTCATAGCAACCCTGTGTATAACAGCCCTTAACCCTGCTCTCTCCTGTGCTACTCTTATTATCTCTGACACACCAACCCCTATTACTCCAGTCACTGAATCAATCTATCTCGAGGGTCTTCCTCTCTTGCACTGTCCCTCCACTCTCCCAAGCATGACGACCCTTTCCAAGGACTGGTCCCTCCTTGCAACATGTCCAAAGTATGTCAGACGAAGCTTCAGAATCCTGTTGAATTGGAATAACCAATTAAAAGGAAAACACACTGCTTTTAAAAGATGACTCCAACTCATGGAAACCTTCTAGTTTCCAAGGCTATAAATGAAGGAGCTGGGCTGGTGTAGTGTGGAATGTATACAGGACAGGAGTTTGAGTCCACTAGCTGCTCTAAGGGAGAAGGGACTCTCCTGTAAGTTACATCCTCAGAAACTCCATGGAGGGTCACAGTGAATCAGAATCTGCTTGACGGCAGTGGGTTTTTGGTGAGTGTAAATCTTACCAAAAAGAGCCAGCTTTATCTCTTTTTCATGAGCAACAGTTTCAAACTGTTGACCTTTTGCTAAGAGTTATAACCTACACCACTGAAAGGGCTCTAGTTTGTCATTGTGAGGGATTGTCGAGTTGACTAATGATGCTATGGCATTCTCACTACCTCTGACAATCCATCTTATTAAGGTTTTTCTTTCATCAACCTTCTACTTTTTCAGGTTTTAGCACTTACTGACAACTTGCCTAAAAGATGTGGGGTGAAGTTTCACCATCCCTGCCTCTAAGAAATATCCTGGTAGCACTTCTAAGACAGATTTGTTTGTTCTTCAGGCATCAGCTCAACCTGCTAAGCATTTAAAACACCTCTCCAGTTTACTGTGTTATAAAACTCCATGTAATCCTTCTGCATCACAGCTCCGTATGCCAAACACCACTGAGAATTTCTGGACAATTACAGTTCTCCATGTGTGGGTCCTTAAAAGCTATCTAATCTAATGCAATCTAATCTAATCTAATCTAATCTATCCATCCATATTTCTAACATTTATATTTTAAAGTGCATTAATTTTCATTATGTCCACATGTTCCCATAGAACAACTTGAGCCCAACACATTAAAAAAAATTTTTTTTAAACTCCATTAAAATGCACATCAGCAAAGATGGGGTAAGGTACAGGCAAATTAAAAAACATGCATGCCCTAGTTAAAAATAAACAAGTTACAAAAAGTAGGTGTGGAAATATTTAATAGCAGACAAAATAGAATTCAATATGAAAAGCATTATATGAGACCAAGGTGAAAAATCATAGTCCACTAAAAACCATGAATCTTTATGCACCTAATAGCTTAAAAATATATAAAACACTCTGATAAAAGCAAAAAGAAATGGAAAAAGCCAGAGTTACAGAGAAAAGACCTTTAAGAGTTCTCGAAATTGAGAAATAAACAGACAACAGTAAGAGATAACACTTATAGGGCACTTCGTATCCAAGTGGCACTGATTTAAGTGCTTTACATGCACTATCTAAGGCTACAGAAAAATACTGACAAGTCAGATACATACACCATAAATACTGCTGTAGCTTATAAACAGAGAATAATCTTTTTTTTTCAAACATTCATTAGTTAATAAAGACCACATGGTAGGCACCAACCCACAAACAACAATAACCACCACCACCACAAACCCAATAAACAAGGCTGGCAAGAGTACAATGAAATTAACACAATCACTGATTTGGCAACAACTCTTACAAGGCATAATATGGCATTGTGTATCAAGTACCCATACTCTTTGACCTTTCATTTTGTAATTGGTTTTCTGATACATTTTTCAGAAACAGTTTAAAAGAGAGAAAGACAATTAAAAATATAGGAAAATATTAAAATATTTCAAGACTGAAATGAAGGAGAATCATAAGAATGGTATGACCATTTAACAAAAGAATGACATCTATGGAATGAGGCTACATGAAAACAAGAAAATGTTAATGCTGTCTTAGGCAGCTGTAAAAGAAATCCAAATATTCTTTAATGGACATGCAGTACTCTACATGGAAAAATATGTGAGTTCTTTAACTTTAGAATTAGACACCTTTTTGCTTGGAGTCATGTTTGGGGCAATTTCTCCCCCTCAGCTATGCAAAAATTCATCTTTGCTGAAGCTGCACCTTCTTTGCATAACAGGAACCTAAATATTATCCTATAGATATAAAGTGAACCTATTAAGTACAAATTTATCATTTTTCGAGTCCCTGGATATGGCAGCTACATTTTATCCAGGTATTTGGCAGTGTAATACAATATGAAGTGGCTTTATTCAGGCAAGTTAAATAGCCACAGTGCAGACATCTACATTTCGGGATTCTCTGTGGAGTCAAATTTGGTCTCTGACAGCTGCTCAGGCTGAGATGCACTGAGCTCTTGAACCACTGGGAACCTGGGGTTTGCTTTCCGATCAGTATTTGGAGAAACAAGTCCTACCTGCTCATTGACAGCTATATTTTTATATTTAAATTAAGTGGTAAAATTTATTTAAGTTTTGGGGGAAAGAATTTAATTTTCAATAATGAAAAGTATTTTTAAGACATTCTCTGGATCCAATTTTTCTGTATGTAACTTTTATTTTTAAATAGGTGCAGAAGACTCAGCTTGGATCTACTCTGAAGTTATATCAAGAATTAAGTTTACTTCACGCCACGGAGTTGCTTCTCAACAGAGGGTGGTTTTGCCACGTGGGGAATGATAGGGACGCTGTTGTGTACACAAGAGAGGTGGATGGAATTGACAGAGTCTTTACTGTGGTTCTGAATTTTGGAGAATCAACAACAATGATAAATCTAGCAGAAATGATTTCAGGAATTCCCCCAAATGTAAGCATCAGGTTAAGTACCAATTCTGCCAGTAAGGACAGTGTGGTTGGCACCAATGCTATTAAACTGGACAAGGGAGAAGGACTTATTCTTGAATACAAGACAAAGCATTTCCTTCATCTCCAAACGGCTTTCCGAGACAAATGTTTTGTTTCCAGTCGGGCATGCTATTCCAACGTGTTAGACATACTGCACAGTGTGTGCTGAGCACTTCCGTGAAAGACCAGGAGGCGCTCTCACGTCTTTATAAGCATGTGCAGTAAGTAGCATGGACTTCCTGTTGGAGGGGAAGCTAAGATAGTCATGAACTCTCAATATTTCTATAGTTTGAACAGAACTGATTCAAGGTTCTCAAATTGTTCTTAAATAAAGTATTGAAAATAATCACTTGTAGGAACTGGCAACTTTACTGAGATTATCAATAAGAGATGATCAAAATGCTTTAGGATCCCAAATGAATTATTAATTAAAGATCTAATTAATTTTCATGTGAAATATGTTAAGTTTTTTCTTTCAAGTGTTGTTATACAAATTGGAGGCTGGCCCTATTGCTACAGTGTCGAACAACATTTATTGGCAAAGAAATCAGGGTACTGATTTGTAAACTGTTCCAAGAATCTCAGTAAACTAGACAAAGCCAAAGCTGCTACGATTGGGAGGAGGCACTCAGAGCCCTGTGCCAGCAGGCCCTTCCTCTTTCCCTCGTCTAAGGCCGTCAAAGGCGCAAGATTGGTAAACAGCTTTCCTAGGTTAAGGGACATCACATCAATAGCTACCATAGTATAAGCAAGTGAGATGTTCACTAAGCACAATTTGGATGGAGCAGCACATTTTTAAAAGTTATTTAATAGCTTAAAAAAAACCCTAACCATCCTCGTATTTGATAATCCAATCGGAAATAGACAAATACTTCAGCACGTTTCCTATCCCCAGTTGAATGCAGTCATTTCACAATTTAAAATATTTTTTAATTTTCTCAAAAACATTGGTGGTGTCAAGTCCAAGCTCCTCATACAGGAATTTAAATTGGGCTGTAATCTGGAAAAGAAAAACAAAACCCCTCACATATAAATATTGATGGCCCAAGACACTCTGATGTCTAAGTTTCTCTACATTTACTCTGAAGTCAGAAAGGGCCCTTTTATTCTGGGTGGACCGAGAGGCTCAGGCTCCTAAGAGCTGAGATTCACACACTCCTTTTAACAGAGCTCATGTTTCAATTCCTAGCTCAAGAAGTTGGATGACTCAGTCCTCCTCCCCCTCCCTGTCCCTGGATCTCAGACACAGGCATGGCAGCTGTCAAGAGGCTCTGCCATAAATTTACCTACAACCCCTGAAATGCTCAGTACACTTATTTCTCATTGGGTTCTTTGTGACATACCTTTTTTTGCGAATCTTCAACCACATGATTTCCTCCAGGTTGAATATCTAAAATAATATTGGGGCTCTGGTAATCTGAAAAAGTTACACATGAAACAATCAGAAGGTCTCTGGTTCAAGATAACGAACTGAGAGGCCAATTTCTCACCTCTCAATCTCCATACTCTACTGAAATAAATGTAGACGAATAAAAACATAAACCAACCGCACCGAGAGGGCAGGGGCAAAACACTGGTAACAAATTTCTGAAGGGGGAAAGTACGAGTACAACTTGTTGTTATTTGCAGTCAAGTCGCTTGTAACTCATAGTGATCCTATGTACAAGAGCTCTAAACACTGCTCTATCCTGTGCCAACCTCACCATCTCTGACACTCCTACCACCCCAACCACAGAAATCTATCCATCTCATCGAGGGTCTTCCTCTCCTGTGCCATCCCTCCACTCTCGCAAACATGATGTCCCTCTCCAAGGACCAATTCTTCCTTTCAACATGTCCAGTGTATGTCAAAGTTTTAGAATCCTTGACTCCAAGGAGTAGCCCGGCTTCACCCTCTCCAGGACAAACCTGTTTCTTCCCTTAGCAGTCCATGGTATATTCATCGTTCTTCTCTAGCACCACAGCTCAAAGGCATCAATTTTCTATCATTCCTAGTCACTGTCCAACTCTCTGATGCATAGCACGCAATTGTGAAGATTATAGCTCAGATCAGGCACATCTTAGTCTCCAGCCTTATGTCGTTGCTCTTCAGTACTCTGGAGAGGTCCCTGACAACTGACTTTCTAATGCAATTCATCTCCTGATTTCCTGGCTGCTGGTACCAAGAGTGTTGACTATGGAGCCAAGCAAACGAAAACTGTTAACTATCTCAACCTCTTCACGATCCGTACTGATAATGCCAACTGGTCCAGTGGTAAGAATATTTGTTTTCTTGATGTTGAACTTCAATCTGTATTGAAGGCTGCAGTCCTTGACCCTCTACAGGAAGTGCTTCAGTTCCTCCTCAGTTTCAGCAAGCAGGGCTGTAATGTAGGTTGCTGATGTCTCTTCCACCAGTCCTGATGTTACATTCTTCCTCGTACAGTCCAGCGTCTTGGATGATCTGTTCTGCATATAGACTGAAAAGGTGTGGAGACAGAATACATCTCTGGTGGATCCCTTTCCTGATTTTCAACCATATAGTCTCTCCTTCTTCTGTTCTGACGACAGCCTCTTGGTCCGAGTATAGGTTTCACATAAGCACAATCAAATGTTCTGGGATTCCCATTCTTCTCAGAGTCAGCCATAGCTGCTTGTAATCCACACAGTCAAAAGCCTTTGCATAGTCAATGAAACAAAGATAAGACATTCCTCTGGTACTCTCTGCTTTCTGCCAAGATCTATCTAACATTAGCTATAATATTCCTAGTACCACAACCTCTTCTAAATCCAGACTGCACACCTGGCAGCAGAACAAAGGAAACTACGGTCCCCAGAATTCTGCAGAGACGAATGGGAAAGTAGCACCTTGGTCCTCTTGAATCTTCTAGCGGAGAAACCAACTACAGCTGTAGGTAGGAGCAAGAGGCAGAGCGGGACACAAGATGACTGTCTATTAAAAACATGTATGTGGATCTCTTCCTCACAAGACCACAATGCCATGGGATGCAGTGTCAAGGAAAAAAAGGAAGAATTTTAAATTTGTAGAAGAAATTAAAGCAGCTAGTTTGGGTCACTAAGGTTCCAGAAGAAAGATCTCAGTCTCTCTCAGAAGTTTCCAAGAATAATGTCTTAGTAAATACGCTGACTCATTTAAAGTATGAGAGTACTATCTCTAAGTTTTATATAGTATTTAGAATTTTCTCCCTAATTTATCCTCTGAATGCACCTCATTTTAATACTATCCTTTGAAAATGAGGTAAGGGAGTGATGATGGGCAGATAATTTGGTCTGTATATGGATTTATACACTCTAGCAGTATATAGTATATCCATAGTATACCAATCCTGTTAGCTCTGTTCCCTGTGCCCAGGTGGTTTCCTACCTTCCCCTGCATCCCGAGTATACTCTGCAATGGCTTCCTTAAGTTTCTCAGTGTAGTTTACAATTCCTTTCAGAGGTACACGTTCATCATTTTCATAAGCTGTGATGTGAATTGAAGGATAATGCTAAAAGAAAACAGAAAGTTTGTATTATTCCTTGTGGATCCCTTTCATCTTTGGGATTATGAGTGCTAATTATTTTCCCAACTGCTTCTCTCTTTTTTTTTCATTTGACATCTTTGAGAGATCTAAGGTGTTGCAAAGGACCAGAATACCAGGGTTTTAAACAGGTTCTTTCTGGTTTGACTCCTATAGATATGTGTATTTCCACTTAGGATGTGCTGAATCAGGATCTACATTTTAATAAGGTCCCCATGTAATTTCCTACAGATATGTGAAAATCATGTAGGGATCCTGTTAAAATACAGATTCTAATTCAGTTTATCTCGAGGAAGAAATGCATAGTCTCAGTAGGTACCGGGGCAAAAAATTACTGAATTTGAATAGAGATGGTTATCAAAAAGAAATAGGGCATTATAAGTTGAAACATTCTAAAACCCCAGTAAGTCCTGCCTTAGCTCAAATAGTTTTTTAAATGATCTCTATTACCTTGCGATAATATATCCTAGTGGTCTTTTATTACCTGAGGCTTAATATTCTGATAAGGGCAGTAACGCTTTATGTAATTCCTTTGTTTTTCATCAGATGCAGGATTTCCCCATTCTTCTATTTCTTCTACAGTTAGAGGAAGTGCAGTGTCCATCATGGTGTTGAGGACATCCAAGAAAGGTGCCTAAAAAAGAAAAAAGAGAGCCAATGACAGACACATAGATCAATGGAATAGAATTGAGAACCTGGAAATCAGCCTATCTAGATATGGTCAACAGATTTTTGACAAGGAGATGAAATCAGTTAAGTGGGGAAACGACAGCCTTTTTATCAAATGGTGTTGGCAAAATTGGAAAAGTATCTGCAGAAGACTTAAGCAAGATCCACAGCTCACTCCATTTACAAAAACCAACTCAAGGTGGATCATGGAGCTTGTACTAAAACGAAGGACTATAAATTTCATTAAAGAAATGCTTGGAAGAACTCTAGTAGTCCTAATCTACAACATAAACAGTCTTCCAATTATCCTGAAAATTCTACAACCAGGAGAAGATAAAATAGATGAACGGGGCCTTCTAAGAATCAAATACCTATACATATCCAAAAACTTCTCCAACAAGGTGAAAAGAGAAGCCACAGACTGGGATAAAGTATTTGGTAATGACATGTCAGAAAAGGGACTTATATCTAGAATTTATAAAATACTTGAGCACCACAACAAGATTAAGGTAAAGAACCCAAATGAAAAATGGACACAGGATATGAACAGACACTTCACCATGGATGACATTCAGATGGCCAACGAGCACATGAAGAAATATTCAAAATCCCTAGCTCTAAGAGAGATGCAAATCAAAACAACTATGAGATATCTCACCCCAGTAAGACTAGCGAAGTTTAACAGAGCAGCAAGCAACAAATGCTGGCGAGGTTGTGGAGAGACTGGAACCCTTATTCACTGTTGGTGGAAGTGTAAAATGGTGCAACCACTGTGGAAAGCGGTGTGGCATTTTCTCAAAAAGTTACAAGTGGAGATACCATTTGACCCAGCAATTCCACTAATGGGACCATAACCAACATCCAAGCAGATACATGCACACCCATGTTTTTCGCAGCTTTGTTCACAATAGCAAGGAATTAGAAACAACCTAAGTGCCCATCAACAAATGAATGGATAGTGAAGCTGTGGTATAATCACACAATGAAAAACAAGGAACTCATGCAATATTATTCAAAAAGGGTGACCCTGGAGGACATTATGTTGAGTAAAATATCTCAGTCACAAAAGGACAAACACGGGGAGTCCTGGTGGCCTAGTGGCAAGAAACTGCACTGCAATCCCAGAGATACGTGGTTCAAATCCACCAGATGCTCTATCGGAGAAGGAGGGGCCATATCCTCCCGTACCAGTCAGATCAGATTTGACGGTACAGACACACAGAAGTAATAAAATAAAAATTTAAAAAAAAAAAAAAGACAAACACTGCATAGTGCCACTGCTGTAGAATGGGACTGACATCAGGGTTGGGGTAAGAATGAGAAAAAACTGGATAAATTATGTATACTGCTTTGAAACGGATGGGGGAGAGAACACTTTAAAAGCAATATATTATAGGACATTTTGATTATCATAAGAGTCCAGAATGAGGGCTGCAGAGTGGAGTATACTCGGGGTGGGAGTGTGTGGGGGGATTGTATACCCATGAAGGAATTTTTCTTTTACTTTTCAAAGAGAAGAGCAAACTGGGGGTTGGGAAGAGTGGGGGTGGGCGGGGAGAAAAGAACAACAATGAATGAATGGAAATCCAAAATCTCTGTAAATGTTCATTGAAATAAAAAAAAAAAGACTAGAACAACACATAAATGGGGAACTGCCAGAAGTTCAAGCAGGATTTAGTAGAGGCCGTGGCTCCAGGAATGTCACTGCTGATGTCAGATGGATCCTGGTTGAGAGTCAAGAATACCAGAAGTTAAAAAAAAAAAAAGAGAGCATCAAATAAGAAGTTGGTAAAATAAGTCTCAGAAAAAGATACTACTTCATGAATATACATGCTGACATGACAGAAGTGAGCTTCAGGAGCTGTGGAGACTGCTGGGAGCCAGATTAATGAAGCAGTCCTTTACAGGACCTATGCTGCATATTGGTTTAAACTCAACTGAGGCAGGCCCTGTCTCAGGGTTAAAGTTCAACCTCTCCAGACTACACCACGAGCAAATAACCAGAGGAGACTGAAAGTGCACACTCTGGTCACCCGGGGTTCCCACGCCCTCTCAACAAGTTAATGAAAATAAAAACAATGGAACCCTCAAAAGACATTTATGTATGAGACATTATTTCATAATGACACATGTAATTAGCAGTTTATGTTTTAATTTCACAACTGTTTTCATTTGCTTTTTATTAATGATATTTTCTTCTTACATGGATGAAAATTTTCTTCCTTGTAAGTGATAAAACCACCAATGTTTAGTAGATTCCTATGAATAGCAAGCTTATAGTAATAAATCCTAAGTGAAGTAAATCTGGTAAATATCTATGTTGGTGAAGGAGAAAAACCACCCACTAGCTCAGAGGTGGGTGGTGAGTTGTTTCTGAGATATGGTGATCCCATGTGGTGGAAGAGACCCATGAAAAAGAGAAAAACTTAAAGACAGACCCAAATCCAGGACATAAGTGTTGATGGACAGTGGACGGTCATGAGAGCTTTATGCACTTCAGACTCAGAGCGCTCAATGTGGCTTCCTGGAACCTGGGGAGTCATAGGTGATTCATCTCTTTCCCTACTAATGCTAAATGTTCAAACAAGTTAAAAAAAAGCAATCAGTGGGAATGATCATTAGTATCCTTCAACAGAAATAACAGAGGAAAATGTCAAGAAAAGTGAAGGATAAAGAGATGTATTACCTAACTTTAGATCTCTCTTGAGTTCCAGCCAGAATAAAACAGTGGGAGAATACTTTTCTTAGTGTCGACTGTGGCTTCACGCCTCACTACGTTATATAAAATGTGGATCCAGAGTATACTCACCTCCATAACCACAGCTCGCAGGAGACTTGGTTCAGAATTACACAATGCTCCCACAAGCACCCCTCCAGCACTGAAAGCAGTCAGCATTGTTAGACTTGGCTGGGAAAAGCCTTCGTCATGAAGCATCTTAATGCAAGCCTCTAAGTCAGCAAGGCCATTGAGTTTTTTCATTAGACGGCCATCAATGTGCCACTGGAGGCCTAACTCACCTCCACCCCTGTAATTAAAGGGCAAACAAATTTTTAGTGGGGGAAATATACTGATGATGTAGACCAGAACCAGAAAATAACAGCTTGTGGCCCCAACTGATTTAGAGGCCCACTGTCACAGTCTTGGAGCTAAGAATGATTTCTACATTTTTATATGTTGGAGCAAAAATCCAAACCAAAAACAAAATAAACTTCATTGTCCATTACCTGTGATAGATAATTTATGTAGCCTGAAACCCAAGAATATTTACAACTATTTAGTTCTCTATAGAAAAAAGTTTGCCAATTCCTGATATATAGAGTCAATAAACAATTTAACAAATATATTTTGAGTGTTCATCTGTTATTGATCAGAAACTGTACTTAAAAACGGAAATGTGGATCATGCTGAGTGAACCCACTTGGTCTTGTAATGACTGCATGACCATTATTTTAAAAATAGGATAACTAGTAAGATATGCATAAATGTTCAAAGAGGGAAGTGGAGGGAGCTGGAGGGCTGGCTGGGGAGGAGGCTGAGGGGAGGAAATCATGGAGTCAGAGTATGGTGGATGGAGGGAGATGGTGAAGGAATTAGGAAAGATCTAGTGGGTGTCTGAAAAGATGTGGCAATAGTGGGCACAGATAAGCAGTGATTAATTTGATAAGAGACAATGTACAGGAATGATCATATGAAACAAAATTTGAATACAGTGTATATAAATTGTGTATGCAAACCAATATAAAATAAAAATAAATGCAAACAAGCAAAATTTTACTATGCTGACAACAATGACAATTTTAGGAGGGAAAATAAAAACCAGCAAAAAGGGAAATGTGGTCAGTCTCAAAATACAAATATATTTAAGCATATAAAAGCATCATATATAAGCATCATAAAAGCAGAGGAAGAGCATCCAATTGTCAAGCCAGGGCTCACACAGGCAATCAGGATGATGAAGGCTTAAGAGGGAAGGAATTCCTGAACAGGGTCTTAAAGAGGACTATGAGTTTTCAGACGAACAAAGAAAGGAAAGGTAAAACAACAAAGACAACCACACAGTGTATGTACAAGGACACAGAGGTGAATGACATGCACTTGAAAGAAAGAAGCCAGGTTGAGGGCAGGGCATACTTGGGAAAATGATGACAGAGCTACTACAGAGAAAAGCCAAGAGTAGAATGAAGCTGAATATAGAGAATAAAATGTAGACTTCATTGTGAAGCTGGGGAGATGGTGAGGAATTTTAATCAGGGATATAAAATTTGTGCCTTACAAACAGCTCAAACAGAATGGAAGTTAGATTGCAAAAAAGAACACCAGCCCAAGAGGCAATTTCTGAAACAACTAAACTCAGGAGAGTTAAATGGAAGCAATAATGCTATTAAGTAATTACAGATACTGATGCATATAATTTTTGGATTGACCACTAGACAGACATACATACATACATAATCCAACAACATCAATGAGAAAGTAAGTTTTTGCTATGTAAAATGCTGTTATTCCGGGCATCTTGTCATGATGCTCTACATATGCCAGATCCTGACTCACCGAACATGGCAATATGCTAATATCCATCCATCTTCAATTAATGCCCGTCTTTCAGGTCTGAAATTCATTTTTAAATCCATTCCATAAGCTCCATATACATGGACCAGGAGTGGTTTTGTCTCCAAGTCCTCCTCAGAATCCGTTTTGTGGAAAACAGTTACTGGCACTAATTTTCCATCCTGAAAATGAAGAATTACTTTTGCAAGTAGAGTCTTTAAAAACATCTGATCTTAAAACTTAACGACAACAAGGTATACTGTTCAGGTTCCTTTTGTATACTGATATTGAAGAAGATATTTCATTTTAAGTTAGAAAAGTTAGTGTCACTAAACAGAAGTAAAAATACTTGCACTTAATGACTGCTGATTTTTATTACCAGAAAAGAATGACAAAACTCTGGCTTGAAAGTATTTTATTAAATGTACTTTTTCATGACATTGAAATGATTTTAAAGATTTCTTCACTACCCACTGTTATGGCAATTCTTAAGTTTAGAAGGCGCCAAAACACTTAAATAGTTCAGAAATTCTAGCAGAACATTTTTTTCCCCGGTTCTAGTGCCAATCACTTATCTTAAATAATGATTAACATCTACTTTCTGATTCACAAATATGTCATGAAACCAAACTTCTTTCTTCTCAAGAAAACTTCCTTGTAAATGAAGATTTTACAATTTAGTTTCTTTCAGCTTTAACGCAAATGTTCAGAATAAACAAGACAATCTGCCCCTTAACAACTAGTTGCAAAATCTTAATTCTCCAGATGAATAATTTGGTTGAGTCAAGCATTATCTTGTATCTCAACAAAAGTTAGGAACAAGAAGATATTGGTGAAGAAAATGCTGGGAATAGCTTTCTATGTTAAAAGCAGTGCTTGTAGCATCCCTGCTATCAAATGGAATAAAATTTCACTCTAGGCCACTAAAACGCACTTGCCCGTTTGAAGGACAAGGCAAGTATCACCAAGGGCAAGTATCTCATCTTGCTAAAAATAATGCCAAAAGGAATGACGTGTAGATTCTTCACATGGCCTATCAAAATAGCTAAGAAAACATTACTTCTTTATTCTTTTCTCTCACCCTCTTTTTCCATTCAATACTTCCTTAAAAAATGTGACTTCTCATGTCATAGCACCACTTGTGTTATCTACCAAGGTGAAAGAAATGACAACATTGTGTCACTAAAGAATCAACAGAGAAGAGAGATTAGCATGTTATCAGAAGTGGAAGTGGTGGTGGGGATATTCTAATTGGGAAAAGAAAAATTATTAGACCTTAAGTATTTGGCCATTTATGTTACACTTATCAAGCCAACCGTAAGTGTTAATGAGTCTTCAGAAAGTCTTCTGGACCTTTCCTCATATTATGGTGACCAAAAAAGACTGGAACATGATTCATAGAAAAGCACAGAATAGACACAAATTGCATAATAAAATAATCATGTATACCACTTCCTAAGGAAATATTTCAGAGAAAACCTATTTTTACTACTGGCCCCAAATGCGATCATTCACTTTTGTCCTTTAATTATCAACTTTTAATACAAAAATACCATAAAGCTGATAATCAAGAACATTTACAGGGACTTAAAAAACTGACAGAATATTTCAATGCTATGCACAGCTAAAGGGTTTTTTTGCTGGCACTTGATTTTATAGTTTATAGACACCATGACTACTAACCTCAGTAAAATACTGTTTTTTAGCTTAAGCAGAACATTCTTTCCGTGCCTGGAGTAGATACTGCCATTTCTCATTTTGGGGTATTTATATACATGTTGACTAAACAAGTTTTAGTTTGATTTCTGTCCTCTTGCATCACTACTTTCAATTTGTAGAACCTGAACCTTCCTACTGACCTTGTGACATCTATCCACATCCTCTTGAAGGCCTACTTTTCATTTTAAAAGCCATTTTTAATAAATTATTTAATTACACTTAAAATATTTTTAGAGAATTTAACTATTCCTCAGTGTAGTGCCTGCACATTAATCCCAATGGCTGAAATCAGGTTACCATCTGGACACATAACATCCAGAAACCTGTAGTAAGTTCACAGAAAGAAGATGACATGGCTGGTTCTCTGCTTAAAGAAACTCATGGAATAGTACCAGTTTATGTTACTTTTGGGACACTAATTTCAAAGAAGGAAAGAAATATAATCAAATGCTACTTTTTCATTCTAATGTTGAAAACTTTACCTCTGTGCAAATGAGTGGAGACATTGAAGTGTTATTACACATGAAAATCTTCAGTATTCTTTTTGACATTAAATTTGCTATGATAACAGAAATATGGATATTGGTGTAAACTAGTGTCTATGAAATAATTTTACATTTTTCATTTCCCTTCCTCCTTCCCAATTTCAATTATCCAATCAAAGGGGGGAAAATTGCTAGGTGAAAATCTATTAAAATGAAGACATAAAGACGCTAGCAAGTCTTATCATGAGCCAGAACCCTGCAACCATCAGCAGGGTTGATGCCTGTGCAAAGTTACAGCAGCTTCCATTCCGTAGTTCCCAAGTGGTGCAACCAATTAACATACTTAGTGGCCAAACTAAGGGTTGGAGGTTCAAGTATTCCTCAAAGAACTTCAAAAGGGCTGAAAATCTGAGGGAGCAGAGCTGTACTCTGACCACACAAGGTGACCGTGGGTTGGACTGATTAAATGACAACAAAGACTTACCTTACTTTTGGCTTGTAGGCGTAAAACACGACTACTCTTTGTGATTGGGTCTTCATTCCCAGTTTCCTCAAAGAGCTTGCCTTCTGCAAACTTGTAGGTGTAGTATTTTGGGGGCCGTATTGGAGAGCAGAGCTGGAAAGGGCAGTTCTTTAGGTCGGGGTTTCCCTCCAGTATGAATCCACAGGCCCAAGAAGGGAGCTAAGGAATGAACAGTCAGGTCATTTGCTAGCCACACTCCGAGGATAAAGAATTACATTTCTAAGCCTGTTCCAATTAAGGTGATGTAATCAGCAATTGTGTTTCTATCCAAATACTATAATACCTCAGGGCAAGATCCCATTATCACAATAAAATATATCTCAAGTAAAAAAATGCCATACTAATGACCAATTAAATAAAGAAAAATTAGAGAGAAATTGTTTATCATGGTTGTACACAAAATCTCCTTTAATTAAAAAAGTTTATTTTGAGGCCTCAACTTGGGTAAAAGCAAAATGGTTAAGCACAAACCAAGCAAAAATTACTAATTATGGAACCAAGAGACAGCTCACAGATCTCTGTTCTCAGAACACATGAAACACCTCACCTTGGTTTTTAACTATCAGCCCACCATCCTGGGTCTAGCTGCTGGGGCAGCCCCAATGATAGTTATTATTCCAGTGCTACAAACCAGCTCAGCAGCACGAACGCATTTACAATCTGTTTCTAACTGTAGTTCCCAGGCTAACCATTGTGCAGAACAAAACCGTTCCTGGCATATCACTCTGAGAGACTCAGGGCTATTATGCTTAAGATTCTTAACTTTCAGAAAAAAGGGAAAGGAATCAAAATTTATTCTTTTAGAGCAGCAGGGTCCAGCTTCAAGCTTTCCTCTGACATCCTCTTACACCTTTTAAAGAACTCTGGTAAGCAGGTTGACAGTGTTAAGAAATGGTACTGAGAGTCAGAACATTAAAAGAAAATTGCCTTTCTTTTCCTGAGTAATTGTAGAAATAGCGAATTCCTTAGAAAATCAGAGGTCTGGGTACACCAATGTCACTGTGGGGATGGAGTACATATATGAAGAGTGTGCCCTTTAATCAACAGAAACTACAGCAAAAGACATTGTCAACAGCTAATTTCTTGTAATTAACTGACAGAATTTAGGTTCCTGAAACACTAATAAATATATGTATTTGCAAAGACTTCCTAAAAGAGTTCATCAGATTGGAGATTAGTTTAATGAAGAATCTGTCTCTATGAACATAAGCCATAAATAAGTGGGCAAAGACCTTGGTGGGGGAAAAAGTGACAGCAAGTGTCTTCTGCAAATATAGTCATATTTTAATGACTGCTGCTATGTACTGCCCAGTTGGAACTGATACCACAGGTGACACTCCAGTGGTTATCAGAGGCAGTTAACTGCACAGGAGGAGATTGCCCATCCTTCTCGAGGAGAGCAGCTAGTGGATTTGAACCACCTAACTTTGAGCTGCTGGAGCAGTCTATTAGGATATAATATGTAGAAATAAAATTGCCTTGGGCATATAGATTCCTCATCCAAATACAACTATATTAACATAAAACAAAATTATTTTCCAACTTGTTTTATTAAATAGTCTACCTTTTTTGGTGGGGTAAAAAAAATATTACTCTCAAAAATACTGGTGACTAACAAGAATAAGTTAGTTTGCTTGGTTCCATAGTCAACAGTCTTGGCACCAGCAGCCAGGAAATTAAAAGGCGCATTGCCATGGGAAAGTCTGCTGTTAGGGACCTC